TTCACATTCTTCCCTTGTTTAGATATTCTCCTTGTGCTTATCTTATAAAGATCATACAGGCTGAAAGATCTCCCTAAAGACATGAGATGTGGGAAGCTTTTCAGCTGCAAACTCCCACCCGTGTGGTGTTCGCAAATGTTCGGTGTCCAGGGATAAGCTTAGGCTTAGTGGGGAATGCTCCTTTCCACTCAGGGAAACTTGCTGAAATCTTGGATACCTGTGGTCTGCCTCGTTGCCATACAGGCCCGCGCACATGTCCTTGCCGTGCAAGCACAGCAGCCCCCGTTCTTTGGGCGAGAAACAGTGGCAATGGCCTTGCATTCGAGGATGGATTCCAGCACCATGGCTCCGTTCCGGGTTTGGACGTGTTTCTGGACGAATAGAAACAGGAATGTTCAACCGACGCGGATTCTGCACATGCTGCACATGCTCATGTACACGACACTATGAACAAAAACTGGTCCAGGAATCTACAGACCAGCTTGAATTGGCTTTCAGAACCGGATAGATTAGACAAAAAATAACAGCAATGTCCCAAAGAGCAAATAAAACATCACCCTGACCTAGCAAAACAATGGTTTTGGGAACATGACGTCGCATCCAAATAAACACCGCGCAGACCGATTCGATCTCTGCGCAGGAGTCAGTCCCCTTGAGTCATCATCAGGCACAGCCTGCTTGGGCAGGGACCATCCTCAGAAGCAAAGCAGGAAGAAGTCGCCAAAACGATTTGAGCAAATCAAAGAGCTCAGGACCCCTGGGTCATCGTTCGTGTCTTCATTTCGTGAAAGAAGAGAACATCCGAATCGTTGCCGCACACCACCCACGTGCAGAGCATGACAAACCGACGGCTGACACGCTAAACCTGGCAATCCTCTCCGGGCATCGGCATCACCCGAAACAATGACCCAGGCTTCTTCAAACGTTCTCACACCTCTGTTTCCTGTCTTTTTTTGAGATCCGCGCTCGGACGGTGTGCTGTGCATCCTGTGATTTTCGGAATCATCCTGCAGCCCACAAAGGGGGCCGCGGACGCTGTCGCTCATACTCGCTCGATTCGCGCCGCGATGCGCATGCGAGCATGCGCCGGCTCGCGGCCTGTCGCTATGTCTATACATCTGGCCTGTACTTGCCTGGGTGCACCGAGGAGCATATAGGACAACCAAACTACGAGATGTGGTGGAAAAGAAAAGACATTCAAGCCAGCAAGCAGTCAACAAACATGGAACCAATCCAGGTCCGGATATCACAATCATGTATCACCAGCAAAACCAGTGTTTACAGGCTGGTGGATTCCGGACATCCTCTATTTCCTCATGATCTTTCCCTGGACCAGTGCGAACTGGATTGACAGCTGAGCCAACAGTATATAGAATATGGAAGATGAAGCCCCAAAAAAGCACATCTTCTGTGTGAAAGGTGGTACCAATAACTGCAATGGCTGCCAGTTTCATCCAGTTTCTAAGTCTATGAGAAGGGGTTCTCCACCTGCATTCCAGGAAAATGAGTTATGATCATCAACTGATGGCCCTGACCTATGCGCGGACAAGCGGATGCTTCGGTTGATCAAACGCACAACCATTTACAACCATGAATGGATCTCAACAAAACCGCATGCACCTGTGGCAAGGCTTCACTCCCTCGCGTCTCACTTCAACAAGTTGAGCCTGGGCCGTGTGAGATTTCGCCAAGTGAGTTGATTCCTGGGACATGTGAGTTGATTTCTGAGCAAAGTTGCTATAGGGTGTTAATGTATTTCATTCAAACTTAGGACTTACGTAGGATGTTCTGTATCATCTTGCAGCAAAACTGCCACATGGACCCTTCTTTTGGGCATCTCACAAATTTCGCACATCGACGTGTTTTGATACTTTGGACGTTGCAGTTTAATGTTGTGCTCAATGTTTGGGAGGTTGCCAGGGAAGACTCAAGATCAAATGGTGCATGAGTGTTCCTTGCATGGAGGCCATCGCTATTAGCTTGGAGGCCAGCGCCGCTCTTAGGTATGTCCTTGCATTGAAGCAATGCCAATTGTGCCGTCAGCACATTTTAAGCGAGGAGAAAAAAGGGATGGATCTTCTCACTTCTCGGCTGACCGAGAAACCCTCTCTTGAGCTCATTTGGTGTACCAAACACATCCAAACACACTGAGACACACGGAGGTTTGGACCTGGTTCCCAAACTGTTCATAGGGACCTTCCTGCAGGGTAACCAGAAGAGATATTTCGTTGACACATCCAATGTGAAAAGTGATGAAACTTGCATAGTTTTAATGTCGCATGAGACGAACGAGACCTGAATCAAATGCCTACTTCCAATGACGATGGTATTATGTCGACCACCTCAGCCTTCCGGCCGCCGCTGAAAGCCCGAGCATGGCCCGAGCATGGACACACCGGTGTCCACTCGGATTCCACAAGGAAACCAATCGTGAACGACCACTCCCGGGTCCTCCGAACTGAACGATCACTCGTCGACGTCGTGACTGAGTGACTGAAACAGTTGGCTCGCCGAGAAAAAGACAGAACAAACTACGCACCCCGAACCAAAAGGTGTGAAATCAACCTAAACTCCCAGACCTATACAGGATAACCCAACAACATCCAAAAGAAAACGCGTCTAGGAAACCTTGGGCATGGCGAATTCGTCTGATCCCCCCGAGGCTCGCCGGGCCGGACGTCCACAGGCCCCACGTCGCCCAGTGGCACGCTCACACCCGCCGACGCCGTGTCGGGCGACACCTTCCACTCCTCGAGGCGAACGGACGAAGGGCTTGGAGGGACACGAGATGGTCGGCGTTCCAAAGGTTCGTGGGGTTCCAGGCGCAGAGACTCGGGTTCGCCTTGTTATGTTCTGCTCCTTGTTTCATTCAGTCTTGTCCTTGCTTTGTTGAAGTTCCTACATGTACTGTGTTTGCAAGAGGTTGCACGAGTCTAGACATACGCCCAAAATGCGAGCTACCAGTATGTTGCCCATAATCGATATACACCCGCCCACTCTCGGGGTGGAAAACGGAAAGCCCCACTCTGTATACAGCTATAGCTGCGCCCGCATGGTGACGCGCACCGCTGCCTCGTCGTCCGCTCCATCATCTGCCTCAGGAAGTTCCAGGAGCGGCAAAGGTTCCGCCTCGGGCGCCGCCTGCGGAGCGGAGCGATCGGCGGAGCAGCTTGAGGAGCTTGAGGAGCAGCGTTCCGGGAGCGCCGAGGCGGGTGCCTTAAGATGGACCTTTGTCAAGAGTCATTTGAGACTCCGGGACATCCATCAACAATGAGGATTCGGCCGTGAACTTTGGGACGCCCCCGTTCCGGGCCCTTTTCAAGAGAGCCAGGACCCAAAAACCGTCGAGAGAAGCGCATAGATGAACAGGCACTCGAGGATCGGTTACATCTTAGATTAGAAGGAACTCTAGGTTCGCTAGAGTATGGTCTTCAGATCCAGAGTAGTGGAGACAACTCCTACAGCACCGATGTGGAGAAGAACCGCTCCTCACCAAGCAAGCAACGGCACTGGAAAAAGACCAGCCCAGAGGGACGGTTCCATGTTTGATTGGCCACTGAAAACCCGTTGGTTTCATTGGTCGGGGCTGCAATGGCCTACAGCGCGCAGGATGGAATTTGAGGCTATACCAATGTCACCAGGGTGACACGGCAACTGGGCATTTCCAGCTTCATCGCCAAAACCTCAAAATAGACCCGCCCCCAAAAAAACGGTCTTCGTTGTAAGCCAATCGACCCGCCCCGATTGCACCACAAAATCCGCTTCAACACCAAACGTGAACCTTCAAGAATTGTTGTAGTGTCTGGAGGTCCCTATAGGTCGTGGGCTGGGGCAGGTGCTGGCAGGTAATTTTCATATATATTCCATCCACTCACCCCCCCCCCCCCCCCCGTGCCCTGCGCCCCTTGGGGCCCAACCCCGGGGGTCATCGGCGTGGAGGGACGGCTGTGGGGGCTCTTGACCTCCTCCTCTTCATCGCTGGGAGCGATCGTGCTCAAATGGCCTCGAGCAGGCCATCGGCGGAGAGGACACAGCTGGGAGGTGGAAGAATGTGGAGCGGAGAGGCTGCAGATTGAGTCGGGGGTGTCGTTTGTTGTTGCGTTTTCACATGATGTGGATTAGAACGCGTGTCGATTTCATTCCAATGGACACTCCTATGCTTACTGTCAGCTCTTGAAACGTTTGACGCCTGCCGTCGTATGATTTTTCCCCACTGCTTCTGCGCCCCGTATCCGTGACCACCACGGCAGCAAACACGCGTACGCAGTTCTTAGCTCACGAAGGGGCTTATGCAAGACTTACGAGGCCTAATTGCACCAAACCACGAGGAGAGAAGCACAATGTGTTCAGATATTGGCACCTTACTATACGATCTAAATTCTATAGTAAAACCACTAAAACCACCCAAAGACCGGGCACTATATGCTTCCTTCATGAACCCAGGGAACAAAGGCAGGCCATATATGGCCATATCATCAGGAGGGCTCAGCAAATCTTTTGGGCCTTTGGATATCTTTTGCGGTCTCGAAGGTCACCAGCGGAGGGTTTCCCTCAAACCCTCACCCCCGGCGAAAGCAAGCCTCCACAAACCCCCAACCGGCCACCAAAAAGCAAGACACCCTCGGTGCATGTCCGTTTCCCTCTCCTCCATGTGCGTTTCTTCAGACCTTCATCCGCCAGGCGGCTCAAAGGCGAGTAGAAGGCTCCTTTGTAACCCTCCTTGGGCGCCCATGTCAGCGTCGCCAAGGCTCCCGAGGTCAACATCGCCAGTGGGTCGAGGGGTCGGCGCGTAGCAGGTGCTCGCTGCTTCGGAGCAGGTGCGGAGTCGCTGGGACCCGGGAGCCGTGTGTTTGGCGGGCCGTTAACGAGCCAAGACTCGAACCAGCAGGTCTCCCAATGGTCCGAGCGGCGTTCGTCGGAGTCAGAGGAGTTCATGGGTGAGTCCGAAGTTCAGAGTTCGCAGCCATGGGGTCGACTCACATTCAAACCAACACGTGAGTTCACGCGTCAGTGAGACCGAAGACGAACATGAGGGTGTGTATCAAGTCTATGAGACCGTAGACCTCCCAGACCGACTGAGGTCTCAGGCTTTTCATGGGAAATAGAGCAGTCTACCCAGTCTCATGAAAGAAAATACACCAGGCCACGGTGGTGCTGGATTAGATTCGACTCTTAGGACAGCCCCGCAGTGGTCTCGGTCTCCTCTTAAGAAGACGGGCGATGACAACAGGTTTCGTGAGCAACTGAACCGCGGGTCGGTTGCCACCAGTCGGCCCGCGGTCGTTGGAACAATGAGAGACACACACAAAGACCATTCACCACGGAGGTGGTGATGAAAACCACGGAGGTGGTGATGAAAAATCAAACGTTGGGCGATGTCTGAGGTGGCTGGTCAAGTGGATTGATTGAGTGGTCGCTTTAGTTTTAGAATGGATGGCACAAACCCCAAGAGGTTTGTTGATGGAGGTCCATATATCAACCACCTTTTGGGGATCTTGCCAGAGAAATGTCCCAACGTTACCAGCTCAAAGCACCTAAAAACAAACCTCTCAAATGCGAATTTGGCCGACGGTCCCATCATAATGCGAATTAGATCGATGGAGTGGACACCAACGTTCACGCCGAGCACCGCACGAGGCCTTCGCCAACGGTGGACCCCGCGCCTCCAAGCCTTCCGCCAGCTTTCGGCGCGCAGCGGGGCGACGTCGAACCTCAAAGCGCTGCGAGGCGAAGGGCTCCGGAGCTGCGGGGTTCCGCTCTGCGGGAAAACCCGCTGCGGGGCCTGGCCAAAACCTGGAAGCTGAGGAAGTGTCACCTTCTCAGACCATCCCTGGCGCGAACCTCGTGAAGTGTCACGATTTCAACCACACCCAACTGAATATCCATGAATCAAACGAATGCAGGCTGAGAAATCGTTGAACCGACGCCCCGTCACGTCATCCAGTCCACCCCCGTTGCTGCTCTGTGAGCAAAACAAATGCAACCTGGCTGCATCCAGCGGGGTTGTTGGGAAGTCTTACACTGTACAAATACTGGAGGTACGCTACCACTTTTGATCCGCTTTGGGCCGTGAATTTGCTAAAAGAGGTGGCGAACTTGCATACAATTGCCAGGAGTTGGGCAAATTCCATTTCGGTGCTTGGTTTGGCATCTGTCAGGCTGCTTCCAAGACCTGTGCCAACCTTTGTCTCATCCTGTGTATTGTGTTCTTTCTGTTTGTTTTGTTGGTGACTACATGCCTTGCTTGTCAGCTAAATTGCCCTGTACCGGCTTTCCGTTGTCTGATTCGCACTTTCTCTGTTGTGAAGTTGCTTCGTCCTTTGTTCTGCTGTGATTGTTTACTGCACCCTCGTTTTTTGCTTTCTCTGTTTATTATTCTGGTATTATATGTAATGCTGCCTTGTGGTTGAAAAGAAAACAAAACTCTCGGACATCCACGTCGACTTTGCCCGACTCTTGCCCTCTGAGTTGTCCTTCAACTCATGTTCCGGTATACCTGGTCATAAACGATTTCAATTGAACATCCCGAGAGTTCTTTGTAAAAATACCCTCGAGCCAAGGGACATGGCTACCAACCTTTGAATTTAGGTAGGATCTGCCCCAAAAGCCCATGGCTTGTATTGGAGTTTTTCTGGGCGACTAGCCGGATCTGTCCTGGGTACCAACTTGCAGGACAGAATGTGCGTATATAAACTCCATCCTGCAGAAGTTCATCGAAGCTAGACAGTGAACAGACTGGACTAGCTGACAATGGAATTGGAACTTCAGTGCGGACCGCTCGAACATGTAAGATTGCAGCACGGTTTCATGACGTCTAAGCTCTCCAACGTCTGCGCAGTGCGAACACATCTTTTTGA